CCTCGCAGACAGAACCTGACTCCAAGATCCCACATGCCAGCCTATTGTCCTCCCCCAACTCCTCCGCCGCCCCCCTGTTCCATTCATCTTGTCCCCCGAATGCTGGCCCCCCTGGTGGCCGAGAGCTTGGCGCGGCACGTTTCGTGTCCAATGGGTCGTCGCCGAATGCTGGCCCCCGTGCCCACCGCCTCCTCCTGGTGGCGGAATACTTCTAGTCTAGTAGACGCTAGCCCTGAGTTCCGAGAAACCCATCGAGACAAATTCCAAGGCCTTCTCAGCGCCCCCCAAGATCCCCATGTCGTCGGCCAACTCATCTATGGCGCTGCTATCCAAGACTGCGGCCGCCACCGCGATATCAGAGTGCAACTGTCTCACCCACGGGGGGGCGAAGCCAGCGGGGCGACCTTCGAACGGCCGCGGGCGATCAACGCCCATGGGGGTGGAGCCGGACAGGCAACGCCAGACCTGCGAGTTGTGGACTGGATCCTTCGCCCGCGACTGATGCGTCCCAAGGCGCCTCGCACGGGGCTCAATCGCACTCGGAGCGAGACGCCAATGCGCCAACGCCTGCTCCGTCGTCAGGTTCCTCGCATGATCGGGCGAGCCGGCCTGCGCTCTCTCCATCGCCGTCGGATCCCTCCCCATCAGAGCAATGCGACCCAGAGCAGCGAGCCCCCGGTCGAGACGAAAGTAATCGGTAGAAGAGAGCACCAGAGCCTCTAGACCGCTAAGTCGATAATTTTGACCAAAGCCCATCAAAAGCAAACGTTTCCACCGATGCGGGAAGCGAAGCGACCAGGCGCCCCCGAGGCTGTGGAACGACGCGCGCGATGCCAGGAGCCGACGAGTGACTTCATGGGCCGCCGAATCTCTCAATGCGAAGTGGGGCCCCAAGTGCCGCGCCTCATCCTTGCGCGCGCCCTGCAGTGGCTTTGTAGAACGAAGAAGTCGGCGACGCATATGACCGCTCTGGCAAAAGTGGAAGATGAACTCTTGCTTGCTTGCAGGCGATCGCCCAGGAATTCGTCGACCGACTGAAGCCTAGTTATGAACTCCCCAAAGCTGCGCCCCGCACCAGCCAGAGCGATTTTGTTAGGGCCAACGGCAAATTTCACAAGCGAAAGATCAGCTCGAAGAGGGCGCCAGGCAGCAATCACATCGTTTGCTTGCCGAATTAACCCATCTCATTAGGTCGTAGCTCCACCCCAACGCAGGACGCTTAAGAAATAGCGAGGGACATCGCAACCATGAGCGGGTCGCCCATCACCCCCCCCTGGCGCGGCCGCCTCCTGTAGTGGAGGGCAAGACAGTGCGTGCGTACCCGAAGCGCTGGGTGCGCAATGGGGCACCCTGGTCCCAGGTGCGCAAGTTGACGGAGGCTTTCATAAAATCATGCGTGCTGCTACCGAAGGCGTTGCTAAGGTCCTCTAGACATAAAAAGCCAGGAAGTGTTGAGAGCAATAAGCACCGCCGCCTCCCTCCTCCGACCGTTGACGAACCCGTGATCAGCAGGAGTCGGGGAAGAAACCAGTTCCTGAGAAAAAAAATCTTTTCCAACCGTGAGAAGTGCATGCGCGACCCTTCGCCCCCGTGGACCCGCTCGCTGATGCTTCAAAAGAGCACCCCCCTCATCCATGTGTCAATGAAGTGGCGTGGGCGCGAAGTGACGCACTTTCAAGACTCCCACGTGCAGCGTGGAGCAAAACGTCACCTGAGGGGGCTGGTCAGCGCGCCCAAGTCCGTGGCGAGCCTGCGCGCGCCATCTGGGAAAGAGAAGCATATGCCACGACTCAGCAGGCGCCGTGCCCATCAGAACCGAACTACGTTTAGGGCAAGTGGCGGCGTGCCGAGGTAGGTCCTGACTATCCTGTTTAGCAAGGGCGATCAGGTCGGGGTCGTCGAAGACATAAGGGTAACCTGCAGCCCCCCCCCCCCCACGCAGTGGGCCCCCGCGCCTCCCAGTCCGCCTCCTCCGCCAACGTGCCTCCTTCACCCCCTGGGCGACTCCGCGCATCAAGCCGCGCTTCTTTAGAGGGGGGGGGGGGGGCGCGGCCAGGGGCGTGATGTGCATTCTAAATGCGCAGCGAAACGTCTGAACGTCTGGCCCGTCGAACGTCGTCTCCGATGCCCTGTCGCGGCCCAGCTCGGAAAAGGCGATGCTGTCAAGGTGCCGTGCAAGGCGCTCATGCGCCATCGCCGCTGCGACTCCGGCCGAGACCCCGCCCTCGAAGGAGCCTCTGAGAACCCGGCGCGGAAACAACTTTTGAAGCTGATTGAGGTTGCCAAGATGACCATGGGCCCCCTGGAGGACAATGATGTCATGGAACTCCGGTAGCCCCAAGACAGCCGAATTGTCGCGAGCAGTCCTCTCCCGAGACGTCGAGATAGACCGAAATAAGGTGCGCGCATTCCACGTTGCAACACGGATGGGGCACCGTCAGAAGGAGAAACGGCGTGCGAGGAGGGCTAGATGGGGGCCCTGGGCGGAGGCTCCTGTGCATTGGGCTCGGCAGAGCCCTCTAAGATGTTAGGGGAGTGTGCGGCCTGAAAAAGGTTGGGTTGCCAGTCTACAGTGCGGACCCCATCAGCACGCCTGACCCGCTCAGGCACTCACATTGTAGATGTCCCTGGCAGCCACCCCCGTTCACGTAGTCCAAATTTGTCCTGCTCGATGAGGTCGCTGGCCGAAGGCCGCGAAACTGCTCATGACGCGCGAGAAGGCGTGGCCGATTGCTTCATCGCGAATGAAGTGGATCATCCTGTCAACCTCGGATGGGGATGCCAAGTGCACCAGGCCCTGGAGCCCGTTCACTCCGAATTTCTACCCCGTCAGGTCTTTACCTCCGTTCTTCAGCAGAGTGAAAATGCCCTCGTACAACTTGCCCGACGCTCTCTGCTTGGCACGTAGATCAACTGGCATGTGACCCCTGGCGTAGATCTTGAGTTTCCTCTGATCACGTGGATCATGTCATGAGAGATCATGCTCGCGAAATTGCTGAACTCGAGCGCCTGGAGCTCGCTCGACAACTACATGCTGTAGCTCTTGCCCACCTTCAAGATCTTCGCAGTTATGGAATTCTTGAAGTGATTCGGGCGAACAGGAATAACTGGTTCTTCAAGATATTTGCGACGCTGCGCTTCTGTGAGGCTCCTCGGGGAAGTTCCCTTCCACCGCCTCTTCATGTTGAGGTCACTGCTGTCCGTGTTGGAGTCAGTTCTGCGATGCTTGGGAGCGCTGCCACCGCCCATAATATTTGCTGCTGAAGAGGATTGGTCTTTCAGATCAGAGATTTTGGCCTCTAGGTTCTCAAACTTTCGGTTCGCCTGCTGGAAGGCTCTGATATTGGCGCCCTGTGCGTTCACTGTCCCGGTCAGGAGCGCCACCTGGGCCCTCTGGTCTTCGAGGCCCTGGGCCAGGTGTAGTCGACATCGTCGACATCTGGGGGAGGATGTTCTCCTGGAAGGACTTGGCAAAGAGATGCAGGCAAAATGCCTTGGGAGAGCGCGCCCCCAGGAGGAGGAAGAGGAGGAGGAGGCAGTCCTGCGGGAAGCGGCGCCGTGCGGAGCACTCTCATGCCAACAGGAAGCAGGAAACAGGAAGACGAGGAAAGAAAACGCAGCCGCATCAGTCAGGCGCGCCTGGGCGCGCCGCGTGGCGGCCAAGCAGCGCCTCGCTAGAAGAGATAACTGGCGGCATGAACTTACACTTCTGGAGGCCCGCGTGGATTTTTTTGTGCTGCGCTGGACCGCCCCTCCTCCTCTTCCTCCTCCTCCTCCTCCTCCTCCTCCTCCTCCTCCTCCTGCTCCTCCTCCTCCTCCTCCTCCTGCGGAGCGCGCCAGGGGCGCCGCTCGCAGACGCCTCCAAGGGGTTCCAGCGCAGATCCAAGAAGTCCGCGCGGACCTCCGGACATTTCGCTTCGAGGGTCGAGGATCGATCAAGGCCACCCTCAGAATTAAACACCCCCCGACAAGCGAAGCCTGGCAAACGCACCCAGGTAAGGAACCCAGAGGCAGAGGGCTGTTCAAGAAACGCCCCAAGGCCGTCTCGTCAACGCCAAGTATGGGAGTCGGGGTGGCTCCTCCTACCCTCATTACCCGATATCGGCGACCGAGGACCGATCGATCGAGGATCGATTGATCGGCCGAGGTTCGACCGATCGAGGATCCAGCGAGGTTCGATTGATCGAGGATCGATCGAGGATCGTGCAGGGAGTTTTGGACCCCCCCGGCTGCTCCTGCCCCCCTGCCCACTGGAGGGGCCCAGGGACACACACACAGGCACACAGACACACAGACACACAGACACACAGACACACACACAGACACACACAAACACACGAACAAACACACACACACAAACACACACACACACACGCGCACACACAAGTCAATAGGTGCTAAGCCCAAGATTCCCCACATGTTCCATACGTGTGTTTTTACCCCTCCTGATGCTTAGCACCCCCACCCCATGGCGCGGGGCGCCCCTTCAACTCTCGGCAAAACCGACCTCACACAAGTTGCCAGCGCTCCCCTTCAATGCCGCTTCGCTTCGGCCCCTCAATCTCTCCCTCCAGCCTGCGTCGGGACGGAACGCAGCGCAGACTCGGCCAGCGCGACTCAGAATTTCCGCGATTTCCGACACTGGAGAGTCGGCGCCAACACGTACTCCGCAAGTAACGCGCTTCTAGTTTTTGCCTGACGCGGGTAGTATGAATGACTTTTGCCTCCGATGCCATCCACTGGGGGTGTTTCGTGCCAAAGCCCCTTCAGCAAAGCGCCCTTCAATGAACACGGCCAAGGGACTTCCGCCAACCCCCGAGTTCACCAACACCCAAGGACGAACCTGGCAATGGGCAGTGCGGTCCCCGACGGCACTGGGCACTGCTGTCGCCGACGGCGGTCTGTGCCAAAACTTGCTCGCGAACACGAGCACCATGCGGAGAGGGATCGGAGTAGGGGAGGAGGTCTTCCACCCACAAGAGAGCAGTACGACATCCCTCCTTGAGATAGAACGCGTTGATCACATCAGTCAAGGCTTGGCCCTGCAAGTGCCCGAAGAGCACCTGCGAACGAGACGACCGATCGATGCCAATGGCATTCACTCTGCGCTCATGCCTTCGACCGCTGCGGCTGACAATGCGACGGCTGCCGCCGACCGCCCTTGCACCCCATGCTCTTCACTGCGCGCCGTCACTGGCAGGCCCAGGGCGGCCACCCGACAAGCACGCATGCGGACCGAACACAGAGCTGCTCGTTGGCCAGAGGCTGCCAATCGACCGTCTGCTTCCCTGCCGTCCCGTCTCCTCTGACCCAAGACGCAATCAGCTGGCGGAACTTGTGCGCCCAAACCGAGCATTCAAAGATGCTCCGACGAGGAGCTCGGGCTGAATTGCGAATGACGGGTCTCAGCCAGCGCCAGCCAGAGAGCAGGCCTGCAAATTCTTGTTATCCTGCAAGATATTCCTGATCTTCGCTTCTGTCTCCTTGTCCTGCCCCAGGGCCCGATGTGAGAGCATTCAATCAGGAGCAGCAGAGGCATAAACGCCGACGCCAGCAATTACGACAACGTCTTCACAACTTTACCCAGATCTGAAGCAACAGCGTAGGGGACGGAATGCCACATGCATGTCTTGGCTGGTCTTACCTGGCCCTGGCTGCGTTTAGCCACTCGCATTCAAGGCACAGGGACTGCCTGAATAACCAGGGCAGACATCGTAAGCGGCCAAGGCGCAGGATGTGGACAGACAAGCTGCTGGGGAAGTTGGTAGCGATCTACAAACCACACCCTCCGATCTTCCACCCGTCGCCTCTATTTTACCTCCCCCCACCTTTCCCCCACGAACTTCCCCTCCCCGTCCCCCACACCCGGCCTCCTGGGCTCTCAGAGCTACTAGAAAGCCCCGCACGCACCCCGAGCCTCCACGCAGCGCGTCCTTCCCTTGGCCTGCCCTCTGGACAGGGGACCTCTGGCGGAGGCCGCCCACATCGGGCTGGAGTAGACGGACTCGGGCTCGGGGGATCGCGCCGCATCGCCGACGCGTCAGCAAGGCATAAGCGAAATCGGGATGGAGCAAATTCAGCTCCGGATCGATCCGCATCGTTGGCGGTGCATCGGCCATGCGGCGCGCTCTCCGACCCCATATGCTCTGGCCCCACATGGGAGGTCAGGATCTGGGCAAGGAGTTCCAGGGCCCGTGGCTGGGGAATGGCAGCGGCGACCCGTCAGTCGCACGGCGACAATGATATCACTTGCGCAGCCCATTCGGAACGTTCGGAACTTTTAGAAATCCAGGAAACCTTGGAAATCCTGGAACGTATCATTCTCATGGCCTCTCGCCCCTCGAGAATCAGGGCAGTGGCGGCCAGTCCCAGCGGCCAGCAAGAGTGTACGGGCGAGGTAGCAACCAGGGAGGTCGGACTGGGCAGCAGCAGCGGACCAGCAGCACACTTTCAAATCCGCGTGCGCCAGGTGGTCCAAGGCATTCAGACGCCGGTCAGCCAGCGGTGGGGTGCACCCGAGGCGAATTGCGACACGAAGGCGATCAACATGACACAGAGCACGTGACGACATGGGGGCACCCCGCACCTGCGGCCTCGCAGCATCGCCCGCTCTGCTGGCCACCTCTGCGGCTGCTTCCCCAGCTCTTCGCCGCTCTCTGGCGTGGGGCCTATTTTCTGCTCTAGAGCAGGTTTGGGAGCAGGCATGATGGAAGGGACGATCTCGCCAATCCCAAACATACATGCTTGCCATCAATTCTGTCCATACGGCTGGGTCCCAGAGTCGGACCCCATGGAACTCGAAACTGACAACCTCCGATAAAAGACTGGAGATCTTGCGTGAGGCCACCGAACATATGATAAAGAAAACTATAACTTAAGAAACCTGGGCCAGCATTCAGGAAGTGACCTAAGACAAACCTGGGCCAAGTGTTCGTGTTAACGCTGGAGGGGTGAACGCGCTCAAGAAACCGGGCCAACTTTCTGGCAAGCTGGTTGAGAAGTGCTGGTCCAACTTTTCCAAAGAAAATTCCCAAATTGTGGCTCTTGCTCTAGCGCCGCGCACATTCGTTCTAAAAACTTTGCAAGAGTTTCACGGGTTGAGGGCGGTTCCTTTTCAAAATGTGGCTCGCCTTAGCACCGCGCACGTTCGTTTTTTTAATCAGGTGCTCGACCGCAAGGCTTCGTCCTGAAGTCGGCCCCCACGGGCTCGAAAATGACAACCTCCGAAGGAGAACTGGAGATCTTGCGCGGGGCCGACTTCGCATCTCCCGCCATCGCTCGGGCGGCCACTCCCCATGCATGTGTGCGCATCGTTTATCCGATCCCTATCCCCAGCGGCGTGGCCTGGGCCCCACTGGCAGATTTACCACCCTAAGATGGCTTCGAGGGGTGTATCCCCAACTGGGGGGGTAACTTGGTGGGGGTCTCGGAGGGGATGGGGATAGGGATTGGGGGTCGGTTAAGCGATACTCAATGTACCGATTTCGTGCGTGTACTCTCGCGCAAGATCGTCCAAGATGCTCCTCGACGCTCCTCGACGGTCCTCGCCGAGAAAACATTGCACGCATCCGAACGATACCAAAAGCTGCGTTGCCCACACGCGCCCGAGCGGCCCAAACCGTGTCCGCTTGCGATGAAGTTCTGTCGGCCCCGTCGCACTCCGGGCGCCACGCACGATGCCTTCCTGGAGGACGAAGAGGAGGACGAGGAGGACGAGGAGGAGGAGGAGGAGGAAGGACGAGGAGGAGAAGGGGGGCGAGGAGGAGGGCGGGTGGAGCTGGGAATGCCGCGCGATCGCGTTGCGCAGCTGGAGGTGGAGGAGAAGGATAAGGAGGAGGAGCACGAGGAGGAGATCGACGACGAGGAAGAGGAGGAGCGATGGCGCCGTCAGCTGTTGATCATCCGGTCCCTCTCTGAATGTCCCGACCCTCCATACAACTTGCCTGTCCCTTTCTGTCTTGCAAGAGGTAGGCGGTTCTAGCGATGGGTGGCCTCTCGGCTGCATCATCGCGATCGCAATGATCATGAGCCTACGCATCATCATCATAATCAGCATCACAAGCATAATGATTATCATCGTCGTCATCATCTTCATCATCATCCTCGTCCACATCGTCATGATCATCATCACCGCCATCATCAACAACATCATCATCGTCATCGTCATCATCATCATAGCCAGCATCGGTCGTCATCATAATCAGCATCAACAGCCTACTCATCTTCCTCATCATCATCCTCATTACCATCATCAACATCACCACCTAAAAACTAATTATCACCAGCATCAACATCAACATCATTATCAGCATCACCGTCACACTCACCATTACCATAATCAGCATCATCATTACCAACAACAACATCATCATCACCATCGTCACCACCATTCTCATCCTCATCCTCATCATCAGCCAAGCGAGCGTTTCACGCTGAGCCCGTTCGTGTCCAACCTACGCATCACCTCCTCATCTGTGTTCCTCGGAAGAGGTTCCAATGCCACGTTTGGGATCCCTGGCGGACGCCACAAGCTCTCGCTGCCACTCCCATGACCGACTGCGCTGATTTGAAACTGATGTGATTGAAATCAGCTCTGTGCCAGCGGTTGGCGTCCGTGTCCTTCGCGTGAACAGGTCTCTTGTAGTTTTGGACCTGGCCGTGTGGCACGGGAACGCCAACGAGGAGAAATACTGACAAATTTAGACCCGCACAGGCAAAGGCATACAAATCAACATGCACTTATGAACAACTTGCCGACATAATAACTCAATCAGAATTGAACGAATATGTGCAATGAAATTTCCCATGTATGATTGTTGACCCATGAACCAAGCACCGACTCGCGCAAGCGACTGGGCTGACATGAACTACTTCTTGATCTCAAAGGCGAATACCGTGCAACAATGCAACCTCATGTCACGGCATGCTAGACCTTGTCGTTGTCGACGCTTTCAGCGGCTACTCCTGGTCGTCGGCTCCTGTTGCCGCTCTCTTCGATTTTAAGCTCAAGCGCTGCGCAATAGCTTTCACAATGGGTAACGGGCCACCTCTATAACACGATGACACCATACCATAAGACCCTTTGCGCAGACGGCACATCAACCTCAACACTAGAAGGCAAACGATACAATACTTAGGATGTTCTGTAAGTTCGCCTCGGTTTGGTATTAACTTCCATGCATATGAAGCCCTGCTTAGTCTTGAGGCAGAAGGGTGCTCTCCCCAGCTCGCGGCGAGCACGTACTGACGCCCTGCTTACACGTACCCTACACAGCACCCTGAAAGCAGGGGTGAGACAGGGTGGAGAAAACGAAACGGGGCTGCAGACAATGAGCCAAGATGAAATAGGGGTGAACAACGAAAGCAAAGGTGTATAAACCGACTGAGGGCAAATCTGGGCTGGAGAAAGCATAGGCGAAACATAAGGAAAGAACGTCGTCAACAAACGAGATGACCATTCCACACAGGGGTGGGGGACACAACATGAGGGCGGAGACATCATAACCAGTGCGCAGAAACTCAGTAGTTGTGGACAGCACAAAACAGAGGCAAACAACAACGGAACATAGCATTAACCAACATCGGAAACACAGATGCAGTATGCCACGCGCAAATCAGGGATGCAGAACATGAAGCAGGGGCAGAGAAAACGAACCAATGAATACAATGCAAACGAAACTTTTACAACGACACAAGGGCGGAAACCACATCAGGGGGAGATTACGTAATTTGGGCAAGCGCAAACATACAGGGGTGGCGAAACCGAAGCAGGACCAGAGAACACGAAACAGAGTGGAGACAACAACAAGGGAGTCGAGACAACGAGCTAAGGGGTCGATGATAATAGCTGAGACAAGCAAGCATGAAATAAGTGAGGAACAAGCACATGGAAACAACAACACATAAAGCAAGGTGCTATACAATCCGCCGATCCGGCGTGTGAGTTTCAAGGAGTCTCAGCTACAGCCTCGAGGCTGAGCCTCAGCCTCTGGGGGGGTTGCCGGGGTGGCTCTGCCGGGGAAAGGGGGGTGGGGTGGGGGGGAACGAGTTTTCCGGCGGTCGGGGGGCGCTGCTTTTACAGAAGGCTCTAATCTCGAGGATGCGCTGAAAGGGTGGCCGCGGCCGCAAAAGTCTCTGAGGACGGTCTAAGAAAGTCCCGAGACCCCGAAAGATCGCCCGAACACGCCCAAGATGGCCACAAGACGGCCCAAGAGCCTTCCAAGACGTCTGAAGAGGCCTCCAAGAGGCCTCCCACGAGGGCCCCCAGAGGCAAAAATCGTTGATTTCCATTGGTTTTTACCTAACAGCGAAGACTGATAGGTTTCTAGTAGGGTCAAAAGAGAGCATCATGACTCCTCAGGGGGCGGGGCGGGACCCGGGGCGGCTGCCGTCGAAGCCCAAATCGGCTGGGACATCCTCGCAAAATCGCTCTTGGCGCTGCTATAGCCCGGCGTACATTTTGGATGCCCGGAGCTAACTGTAGGCCACTTCGTGCTCTTCGACTTCCCAGAACTCCATTCCTGGGCCACATTTTGGATGCCCGGAGCCAACTGTAGGCCACTTCGTGCTCTTGGACTTCCCAGAACACCATTCCCGGGCCACATTTTGAATGCCCGGAGCCAACTGTAGGCCACTTCGTGCTCTTCCAGTTCCCAGAACTCCACTCCCGGGCCACATTTTGAATGCTGAGGCAGGCTGATGCTGAGGCTGAGGCAGGCTGAGGCAGGCTGAGGCTGAGGCCGAGGCTGAAGGCAGACTGAGGCTGAGGCTGAAGCAGGCTGAGGCTGAGGCTGAGGCAGGCTGAGGCTGAGGCTGAGGCAGGCTGATGCTGAGGCAGGCTGAGGCTGAGGCTGAGGCTGATGCAGGCTGAGGCTGAGGCAGGCTGAGGCTGAGGCCGAGGCTGAAGGCAGACTGAGGCTGAGGCTGAAGCAGGCTGAGGCTGAGGCTGAGGCAGGCTGAGGCTGAGGCAGGCTGAGGCTGAGGCTGAGGCAGGCTGAGGCTGAGGCTGTGACTGCGACTGCCGTTGCCACTGCGACTGTCATCGCGAATGCGACTACGACTGCGAGAACAGCAGAATTCTACAACTGGATTCTCATCTGAATCTTAAGGGGAATGCTTCCAGATATGCTCCTACACATCGCTGTTAGGTTGCTTTGCCGGGATAATTGTTCAATGTTTTTGGGGTTGTCGCTTTTTTCGGCTTTCCGACGCTCCAAGACGGCCCAAGAGGCCCCCAAGACCGCTCGAAGACGGCCCAGGAGGCCCCCAGACAGTTCCAAGACGGCCCAAGAGGGCCCCAAGGCGGCCCAAGAGCCGCCCAAGACGGCCCAAGAGGCCCCCAAGACGGCCCCAAGAGGACCCAAAAGAGGGACGAAAAGCGGAACAAATCTAGCCTTCCAGCCCACGAGGCCCCCAGGAGGCCCCAAGAGCCCCCAAGAGGGCCCCCCAAAGCCCCCAAGAAGCCCCCACGACGCCCTGACAGGCTCCTAAGATGGCTCAAAAAACGCCCCAAGAGGGCGTCCTTGCGCCGATAGGCTCGCCTCCACCGCTCGCGCCACATCGTCCAGGCCACATGTTTAGTAACAAGACTCCGTGCAAGACGTATCGTGAGTTTCCAAAGTGATTGGCATCCTGTATGGAATTTTCGCGCCATTATTATTTCCCGTCCCACGGTCACTGCAAGCACCCCGCCGTTGAAAGAACCACTGTTGCAAGATGGCTCTATTGACCCAACTGCATTCCTACGCCCTTTCGAAGGTAACCCGAGAAGGTTGTGCGTTTGAGTGTGCGCCCATAATGTCTGCGTCTGGAGAATAACACCGAGCGACCCGGATCGGCGGCACTGGCCGAAGGCCACAACAATAAATCAAGTCGGGGACACGAACCAGGGAGCGCCATTCTAAACATGGGCAAGACAAACAAAGCAAGGCCGGAAACACTACATCAGAATGCACATAACGAAACAAGGGTGCGGAACCGCAGCGGGACGGACACGACAAGGCAAGGCCGATAAACACGGAACATGTGCGACAATTGCGAAACAGGGGCGGACACACGAGCAGGGGCATCGAGGCAGCTGTGGTGCAGAATACCAGGTTGGGTTGGGAGCGTCGAGAAAGGTGTGGCGAAGGCGAACTGGTGGAGGAATACAACGACCCACAACGGGGGAAACAGAAGAGCCGTGGATACCGCGACGCGGGCATCGGCTGAACTCCCAAGGGGGGAGCCGTCAGGATGTTCTCACGGGCCCCGTCGCGCTCAGATTGCGGGGGGGTTGCCTCGAGCGGTTCTCATGCTCGGGCGCGCACATCCTCTGCTTTCAGAGCAGTTTGTGAGGATGTCTGGAGCGAGGCGCTGGCTTCAGCACTCCCAGGGGGGGAGCTGCCAGGGTGGCCTCACAGGCCCACTAGCTCTAAGAATGTGGAGATGCCTCGAGCGGTTTGCCCGTTTGGGTGCGCAACGTCCTCAGCCGTCGAAGCATATTGTGGGGATGTATCAAGCGAGGCGCTGGTTTCAGCACTCCCCCAGCCGCCAGAGTGTTCTCACGGGCTCGTTCGCGCTCAGATTGTAGGGCTGTCTCGAGCGGTTCGCTTGTCAGGGTGCGCGACACCCTCTGCTGTCAAAACAGATTGTCAGGATGTTTCGAGCGAGGCGCTGGTTTCAGCACTCCCAAGGGGGTGCGCAACAGCTGCTTTCAAAGCAGGTTGTGAGGATGTCTCGAGCGAGGCGCCGGTTTCGGCACTCCCAGGGGGGAGTCGCCATAATTCACGCTCAGATTGTGGGGACGTCTCGGGCAGTTTGCGTTTGCGTGGCTGGGTGCCCAACGTCTGCTTTCAAAGTAGGTCGTGGGGATGCCTCGTGCGAGGCGCTGGTTTCAGCACTCCCAAAGGGGGAGAGCCTTCAGGACGTTCTCTCGGGCCTGTTCGCGGTCAGATTGTGGAGCTGTCTCGAGCGAGGCGCTCGGTTTGCACTTCCGACTCGTGTCCAGTCAGAGTTTTATGATCCCCGCGAACAGAAAGAAAACGGCGGCCATCAAGCAGGAGGGAACACAGAGGAAGACGCGAGAGGAAGGAGAGGGAGGACTGAGGAAGAGAAGGGAGGAGCTCAGGCAAGGAGGGGGGGGGACAAACAGGGGAGAAGGCCGCCAGGGAGGAAGACTCTTGCCATGGAGGAGAAAGGATGAATGAGGACGAAGGCATAGGGAGAACGAGGAGGAGGAGGAAGGATAATCACGCAGGACGACATGGAAGGACCGCCGCAAGGGAGGAGGAGGAGGAGAAGGACGAGAAGGATGATGAGGAGGAGGAGGGAGGACGCAGGAAAACACATGAGGAGGGACATGGGAAGAGGGAGGAAAAGAGGAAGGGCTACGGCGAGGAGGAAGAACAAGAAGTGGGGAGGGGGCCTGCTCACCGCCATTCTGTCTGTGAGCTGTCGTCGTCGTGCCCCTCATCGTGGCCGCCGTCGTCGTCGCATCCGTCGCCCACTCGGACTCACGCTCTCACCCAGACACTCGCAGACAGACTCTCACAACGGGACATGTCAGAAGATGGGATGCACATGCTGGGATCTCCGCGTCGAATAACTGTCGACACAGTTGATCGACTCTTTGTCATTAGTCCCACGACAACAACCACATCAACATGGTGGTAGCTCGCGCGCGTGCCGTTGGTATCAAGAGCCAAATCGAAGGAGATCGCGATGCAGATCCACAGCTCAAATCGAGAGGGTGCATGCCGATGCTACATAAGGCTCCGGCCACGAGGGGGAAGATGGAAGAGGAGGCGGAGCGTCTCTGTGAGCCCGTCGGATCGTTAAACCTGACCGCTGTTGCGCTGCGCTTCCCGCCACCTGCCCATCGGCAGGTCTGTAGCGAAGCGAGCGGAGCTAACGATCTCGAGCGACTCGGCTGGGCAAGGAACGTGCCCCCCAGCCCGAATCCGACATCTTGCGTGCAGAAGGCAATGAGAGTGATAGG